TTGAAGAAGATCCTATCAAATAAACGCAAGCTGGAGAAACACGAGATGGTCATGCTAACTGAGGAATGCAATCCCAAAATTCAGAAGAAGCTCTCACCGAAAGTGAAAGATCCAGGGAGTTTTACTGTTCTTTACACTATTGGTGAAGTTTATTTTGATAAAGCTCTACGTGATCTTGGTACAAGTATTAAACTAATGCCTATGTTTGTTTTCAGGAAACTCGGCTTGGGAGAGGCTAAGGTGACTACAGTGACACTACAGCTGGATGATAGGTCATTGACACATCCCAAGGGAATAATAAAAGACGTGCTTATCTAGGTTCAAAAATTCATATTCCCTGGGGATTTCCTCATCTTGGACATGGAAGAAAATAAGGACATCTCATTGATACTTAGTAGACCATTCTTAGCAACAGGAAGAGCTTTAATTGATGTTCAGAATGGGCAGTTGATTTTGAGATTGGGAGAAGAGCATATTTCGTTTAATGTCTTTAAGGCGATGAAACTACCTACAAAGTCAGATAGCTGCTTCCAGATCGACGTGATTGACAAGGTGGTTCAAAACTCATTTTTGTTACATAATCCATCAGATGCTTATGAAACCTGCATTGCAAACTCAATCAACGCAGCAGTAAAGATGGAAATATGTGCAAGATTTTTGAATATCAACCTACCTGATACATGTAGAAGGTATTTTGAGGAGCATGGGAAAGGACCCACGAAGCCATTACCATCCATTCAGCAGCCATCGAAATTAGAACTCAAGCAGCTGCTGCTTCATCTCAGATATGCATACTTGAGAGAGTCTTGTACACTCCCGATCATCATCTCAAACACAGTCAGCGAAGTGGATGAGGAGAAACTACTTAGGGTACTCAGGGAGGATAAAACAACTATTGGATGGATGACGGCAGATGTCAAAGAGATCAACCTTTCATTATGTATGCATAAAATTCTCATGGAAGAGAATTTCCGACCAACCATAAAGACTCTAAGGAAGTTGAACCCAAACATGAAGGAAGTGGTCAGAGCAGATGTACTCAAACTTCTGGATACAGAAATTATATATTCGATATCAGACAGAGCATGACCAACCTAGTTCAAGTGGTGCAAAAGAAAGGTGGAATCATAGTGGCGCCAAATGAGAAGAGTGAGCTAATACCGACCAGAACAGTGGCAGGATGGAAGGTTTGCATCGATTACCGTAAACTCAATGCAGCTGCAAGAAAAGATCACTTTTCCCTTCCATTTATTGATCAGATCCTGGAAAGATTGGAGGGCCACTCACATTACTACTTTTTCGATGGATATTCAGGTTACAATCAGATACCAGTGGCACCAGATGACCAAGTGAAAACAACCTTCACTTGTCCCTATGGTACCTTTGCATAGCGCAGGATGCCCTTCGACATTTGCAATGTCCCTGCCACATTTCAGAGATGCATGATAACAATTTTCTCAGACATGGTAGAGAAGTTTATAGATATTCATGGATAATTTCTCGGTCGTTGGGCCTTCATTTGAAGAGTGTTTGGAACACTTGAATTTGGTCTTACAAAGATGTAGGAAAATTGATTTGGTGTTGAATTGGGAGAAATGTCACTCCATGGTATAGACGAGGATTGTGCTAGGACATCGAGTATCAGCAAAGGGAATCGAAGTGGACAAAGCAAAAATTCATGTTATTGAGAAGCTACTGTCACCTACATCAGTTAAGATTGTTCGTAGTTTTCTAGGACATGCAGGATTTTACAGAAGATTTATCAAGGACTTCTCGAAAATCACCAAGCCACTATGCAACCTACTGATCAAAGACGTGTCATTTGAGTTTAATGAGGAATGTCTGACAACTTTCAACACTTTGAAGGAGAAACTCACATCAGCACCCATAATTGTAGTACCAGATTGGGAATTGCCCTTTAAACTAATGTATGATGTCAGTGATCATGTCATGGGTGCAGTATTGGGACAACGAAGAAATAAAATCTTTCATGTGATTTATTATGCAAGCAGAATATTGAATGATGCCCAGATCAACTACGCAACTACTGAAAAGGAGCTCTTGGCTATGGTATATGAATTTGACAAATTCAGGGCATATTTCGTGGGGTCTAAGGTCATAATCTACACAGATCACTCTACACTAAAATATCTGACAACAAAGAAGGATGCTAAGTTGATATTAATCCGTTGGTATTACTGTTGTAAGAATTTGATATCGAAATTTGGGACAAAAAGGGCAGTGAAAATGAGTTAGCTGATCACTTATCATGATTGGAACTTGAAGAACCAGAAGAGTCATTGGACATCAACGAGATTTTTCCAGATGAGCAGATATTCAATGTAGAAGAACATCGTAGTATGTAGATATTGTCAACTATCCGACTAAGTTCATCCCAACGCTAAATTATTCAAGTCACCAGAGGAAAAAGTTCTTTGGCGAACTGAAGTACTACTTTTGGGAAGATCTTATTCTCTATAGGCGAGGGGCTTATCAGATTGTAAGGAAGTGTATACCTGAAGTTGAAGTACTCGAGATTCTTGAGCATTGTCATTCATCTGCCTATGCAGGACATTTTGGAGCTTCAAAAACTGCTGCAAAGTTTTTACAGTCAGGGTTTTATTGGCCTACTTTGTTTAGAGATGCCTTTGAGTTTGTCAAGATGTGTGATAGATGTCAATGCACTAGGAATATCTCAAGAAGGAATGAAATGTCACTTAACAATATATTGGAAGTTGAGATATTTGATGTCTGGGGAATCGACTTTATGGGACCTTTTTCCTCATTGTTTTCCAATAAGTATATCCTATGGCCGTTGATTATGTGTCTAAGTGGATGGAAGCGGTAACATTGCCAACAAGCGATGCGAAAGTGGAAATTCGATTCTTAAAATGATACATCTTCAACAAATATGGCACACCGCAGGCGATAATCAGTGATGGGGTCTGCAATCGCCAATTCGAGAAGTTGTTGAGCAAATATGGCATTAAACGCCGTATAGCTACCCCATATCATCCACAAACCAGCGGACAAGTTGAAGTTTCTAATCGACAGTTGAAGAGAATACTTGAAGTTACAGTCAATTCATCCCGAAAGGACTGGTCTAAAAAGCTGGACGATGCATTGTGGACATATAGAATAGCATTCAAGACCCTGATAGGCATGTCTCCATAACACCTAATTTTTGGGAAAGCGTGCTACTTTCCACTGGAGATAGAACACCGTGCATATTGAGCTATGAAACAGTTAAACATGGATTTGAAAGTCGCCGGTGAAAAGCATTTACTGCAGCTAAATGAGTTAGATGAATTTAAGATAGAAGCATATGAAAACTCAAAGCTTTATAAAGAACACACCAAAAAGTGGCATGACTTACTCTTTCAGATACGAGAGTTTGAAGTGGGACAGAAAGTTTTATTGTATAACTTGAGACTCAAGCTCTTCTCGGGAAAACTAAGGTCAAGGTGGTCGCGCACTTACACTGTCACAAAGGTTTTGCCATATAAAGCCATAGAAGTCAACCATGAAACAAAGGGTACCTTCACTCTTAATGGGCAAAGGCTGAAACACTACTGGGACGGTGACTTCTCCAAGCAAAAGTCTACCATTCAACTCGAAACATCAAATTGAAGCAGAAGTGGAAAAGTCGAGCTATCGACTATAACCTAGCACTGAGTGGGAGCAACCCACTGTATCCTTTTGATTTATTTTGCTTTTTGTATTAGCTTAGGAAATTTTTCAATTTCACGTTTGCATTTTTTTAAACAGTTAGGTCATCTATCATCTATACATATTAAAATAGTCTAAACACTACACACACGATGACCTATGCATCGAGCATGAGTTGGGATTGATTTAGGTGTTTTGGGTATGACATTCACGCATTTCGATGCAAAGTTATTTTCAAAAAAAAATCGGGGTTATTGTGTGATCTCAAATCAAAAATTGGTTTTGGTACTAAGTCTATGGCCTACATGTCATCCATATGATCTAAAAATGTGTTTTTTTTTTTTTTTTTTTTTTTTAAAGTGTGGGAGTGTAGGAAGGCCAAGCAAATTCACCAATGGAAAACCAAAATTTTGGGAAAATGTGAGGTAAGTCGTGTTTTTGAGAATCAATTGTGTTGTTACATTTTCATGTGCATAATCAATAGTTAATACCATCTGCAATTTTTTTTTAAAAAAAAGACCTGATTGGTGGTCTATGTGGTCGCATAGATCAACCAACTATGCGGCCACAACAACATAGGCTGGGAATTCCCTGCCATTTCATCTATGCGACCGCATAGAA